ACATGGAAAGTTATCCCTCTGGTGTCTTGCTTGGATTTTTTCTCCTCTGAAGGCTAAGGCCACAAGGGAAAGCCAGAATCACAGAGTGGGGAACGACTTTGGGGCTTGCGGGACTGCCTCGGGGGCCTCCACTTATGACTCCTTTTCTGCAAATGGCAAGCCCCCCAACCCCGGCCTGCTGGTGCCCACGGCTGGTCGCACCAGGGGTGGATGCCTGACGCGGCCTGGTCCAAGCTCTGTAGGAACACTGGGGGACGCCTCTGTTGAATAATCAGCTCTGGCAAGACAGGGTCTTGTTTCTTACCCGCAACCAAGCAACTGGGGGTGAGTTCCAGCTGCCCCTTTTAGATGGATTATGTGTTTGCCAGTTTGCCATGGTCCCCACCTGTCCCTATTGCCTTATTCTGGCCCGCATCACTCTTGAACATCCTTGCTGGACCCTGGGAAATTGCAACGGCAATGCAATGACTTGCTTAATTGTGTGTCCATCCCAGCAGGCCGCCAGCACCCAGCCACTGGAGGCGAGGGGTGAACGAAACAGGCACGCTCTCCACCTTTGTGACACTCACAGTTAAGACAGACAATCGACAGTCATTCCAACACGGGAAGATGAGGGTTGTGGCGGGGCGTGGACCTCAGCTCAGGCCAGGGAGGGAGCCTCTCCACCTCCCAGAGGTGATGGTTCAGCTGACACCTGAAGGCTGAGCGGCGGTTAATCAGGCAGAGTGAAGGGAACAGTGTTTCAGAGAAGAGGAACAGTGTGTGTGAGGCCCCAGGGTCCAGAGGAAAAGCAACAGGGCCGATGTGGTTGGGTGTGGTGAGTGTGGTGTGGGAGGGGCTCCTGGCCATCCTGTGAGAGACAAGGACCACCTGGACCAGGGTGGTGGCCGGCGGACAGGGGAGAGGTAAGCCGATGTGGTAGGCAGTAAAGGGTTTAATCAGTGAGATGAGGTGACGGAGGATGCAGTGATGTGAGAGTGTGTGTGTGAGAGAGAGAGAGAGAAACCGAGACAGAAACAGACAGGAAGACAGAGAGAGGCAAGACAGAGAGAGAACGAAAACCAGGTTTCTGGCTGAGTGACCGGGTCAGGGATGGGTGGGGTGAAGGCGTGAATTCAGTTTTAGGCCTGTGTGGACGAGTGTCTCTGAGAGGATGGGGGAGGGGCCGGCCTGTATCTCGTGGAGGTGGACTGGGGTCCCAGCACCAAACTCCCCCCCCACGCCCCCGAGCCCCTGGAAGGGACCACAGTCCACAAACCACACACACCGTTTGGCAGCAAAGAGCAGCGCCAGGTGTCACGGTCTTGGAACCGCCAAGTGTAACCGAGGCTCGAAGGTGGTGTTGAGTCGGCCCTCCGGAAGCCAGCGGCCCCTGCGGGTCCGACGGGCCCGAATGGAATAGTCCCAGGGCGGGGCGCCAGGCCGTCAGCAGCAGAAGCCCCGGGCCGTGAGGACCCGCAGCGGCCGGCAGAGGGCAGTGTGGACCAGGCGAGGGAACACGCCACTGCAACCCCCTCTCAGGGGAGCATGTCCTGCAGGGCCTCCGGGCAAAGGGATGCAGAGGCACAGCTGTTCCCTGGGTCATCGACGCGGGCGGCCGAGGAAATGCCGGGATCCAGACAGGGGACACTAGACAGCTGTGAGAAGGAATAAGGAAAGAGCCCCCAGGAACATGCTTCAGTAAAAAGAATAAAATAAATAAAGGCAGGCAGAGAACAGTGTGAATAATGTGTTTTCGGTCGTGCAGCAGAGGGGAATAGGCGTGGGTATCGCTCGTCTGTGCGTGAGAACTGCGAAAGGCACACAGACCTAAGAAAGGTGGCTTCCTGTGTGTATGGGGGGTACGAGGACGGGCAGAGGTGAGAATTTTAAACGGATGGCCTTTTAGAACGTGTGGCTTTTGAACTCTGGGTGTTGTATTAAAAATAGATACAGAAATTCCAGATTAAAAACGACGGTGAACCACGTTTCCTCGAAGCCTCTCTCCTCTCTGAGGTTCCCGGTACCGTGCAGGTGACGGGTGGATGCCCTCATGTCCCCGTGTCCCACGACCGCCTGGGGACGGGCCCGGCAGGTGCGCTGCACGTGCTGTGCTTTCAAGCTGGTCACAGCCCCTTGAGGATGGAGCTGCCCCCCCGGGGGCTCTCTTCTCCTCCCCAGCTACCCACAGCCCGGTGACCCCAGAAGGATGCGGGCCTCTGGGGGCAGCAAGCAGGCCGGGGTGGGTGGGGGGGTGGGAGCCAGAACAGTGGGCGTGGGGAACACTTCCTGCTGCTTTCGGTTTGGGTTCCTGGGGTTTGAAATTGAAACTAAAAGCCAAGGTTCAGCCTCAGCTGGAGCAGCGCCCCCCCCCCCCTTCTGGAGTTTGCATTTCTCCCCTTCTGGTGCCAGGCCCTCAGAGCCCAGAGGCAAGGCTTTCTGGAAGTTGTTGGAACCCCTGCAGAACACTCTGGATAATAAAATGGGCTGGAGCAGGGCACTGGGAGCCGGGCCTCCCCATCACGTGGCCATAGCATCCTGGTTGACCTTGGCGGGACGGCCAAAGGCAAACCTCGGAGGGGGAGCGAAACAGGGCTGGGAAGGGGACACAACCCAGATGGACACACTTACAGGAGAACAAGGCCCTTGGATGCAATGGCTTTTGAGAGCAGCATGACAGCATGGCACTGGGGCTCAAAGACATTCCTTTCCTGCATTCCCACCCACCTCGCCCCCAGACTGTGGCCTGATTAGGTAGAAACCCAGGGCCTGCCCAGGTGGTATTGCTGGGCGGGAGAAGGCTGCTTCGGTCCAAGAGAGGAAATCCACATCCTCGATCTGATCACTTAGTGACCTGGCCCCAGACCAGACACTGCCCTGGACACCAACCACTTCCCCAGTCACTGGAAGAGCAGAGGAGAGGCACACAGATGTCACCAGGGCCCCAAATAGCACCTCTGAATTAGAAGATCCAGTTAAGAGCCTGCAGGTAGCCAATCAGCCAGGCCTGGGTGGAGTTCCAGCCATCAGCTGTGTGACCTTGGTCAAGTCATTTAACCTCTCTGAGCCTCAATTTTCTCCCATATAACATGGAGAAGAGTTTTGGGATCAGTAAGTAGAAGAACATTTAGGAAGTGCTTGGCACAGAGTAGGAGCTCAAAAACTTGTTAATATTTGCCCAACCCAAGAGCAATTGTCCTTAATCTTTTGGGGATTACAGGACCCCTTAGGAATCTGAGAAGCCTGGACTTTCTCCCGAGAAAACTGTAGGTCTACACGTACAACACGCTTTCTGGGGCTCTGAGCTGCGCGGCTGATGCCCTTGGAGGTGGACCAAGCGTTTGTCAGTGGTGTTATCCGCCTGGCACAGGGTCGTTTCCAGACCCTGGGGCCTGGGCTTGCTGTGCAGGCTGCACGCCGCACTGTGTGGCTCAGGGCAGCCTCCCGGAGTCCTGGGCTGGCTCCAAAGGAAACACTGAGCTTGCAGGCCCTGGTGTGGCAACTCCAGCTGCAGCCAGACTTTGCAGGGAGCTCCGCGCGCGCCCTCACCACCCAGCCCCGCGGGCCCCTTTCCTTCCCAGGCCAGTCGGAAGCCCGGAGCTTGAGCAGATGCTGTCACGGGTCTCCTTTGAAATCCTCATATGGCCTGACTCCCTGGGGTACCAAACCCCGCCTCCCACCGCCTTCTCCCGACTTTCTTTCGTGCAGGGAGTGACCCAGGGCACGGAACTCATCCCTCACTTCTCTCCTCCCACCCCAGCTGATTAACATATATACAACCCTGCAGCCCTGTGTCCTGGAGCCTGGCTGAAATTACTTGGGAAAAAAACCCCACCACACATTCTTTTAAGGCATTTTCTCCAAGCGTGGCCTGTCTTCACCCCTTCTTGTCCACCACCCACCCACCCCCAGTTATATGCGAGTTGCGGGTTTGGTTATCCTGCACAAGCCTGAGAATTCTAAAGTTAAATAAATAAATATAAATAAATCAGCAGGCCTTTTACTCCGGGACTCCTTTCCAGTCACGTCTGTCCCCTTGGCTCTAAGTACTTACAAGAAAGCATGGTTTCTAAGTGGAAACACGATTGCCCGGGCCTGGGGAAAATTTACTGTTTGACTTAGAGCTCTAACAAGATGGAAGCAGACCTTCCAGCTCCTGCATCTCCTCGTGTGGCCGTTTATCTGGCCCTAAACAATCACAGCTGGGCCTCTGGAATCATGGCTTCTCCAGACCCAGCACATCCAGCTTGTTTCTGGGGGCCGTTCCGGAGAAAGCATCATCGCTTACTGGCTCTTGGAGGAATTTTTTTTTTATAAATTTATTTATTTTATTATTTTTGGCTGCGTTGGGTCTTCATTGCTACTCCACGTTGCGCTGCATGGGCTTCTCACTGCAGTGCCTTCTCTTGTTGCAGAGCATGGGCTCTAGGCACACGGGCTTCAGTAGCTGTGGCACATGGGCTCAGTAGTTGTGGAGCCCAGGCTTAGATGCTCTGCGGCATGTGGGATCTCGCCGGACCATGGCTCGAACCCGTGTCCCCTGCATTGGCAGGCGGATTCTTAACCACAGGGAAGCCCTGGAGGAATTTTTTACTTCTTTAAGGCATCATACTCCCAGGCAAACTCAGACCCTGTGCTGTAGGGATGGATCATCACAGGAGGAGAGAACCCGGCCCCCTCCTAGGACCCCCCACCCCCAACTCATACCTCCCAGGGCTCTGTGGTGCTGATGCAATTTCTAAGAATTGAAATGCTAGGAACTGCTACAGGACACACACTATTGTTTTAGGATGAGGTATTTGTTAAGAGTTCTTTTATTAATAATTCATATCTTCAAGAAAACCTACCAGAGGGTCATCAACTCATGTCCATGGTATCTGAAACCATAAAGCAATTCAAAACTATGTCTGTTAAGAATTGCTCGAGGCTGCAAGTAACTGAGAACCAAAATAACAACCATTTAATACAAGATAAAAATTTATTTCAGTCTCATGTAAAAGAAACCCCAGCGCCAGTCCCGGGCTGCAAAGTGTCATCAGTGACTCTGGCTTTCTGTTCCACCATCCTCCGTGCAGGGTTTCCCTCTTCAAGGGCACCTCAAGATCCAAAATGACTGCAGCAGATCCAGCCATCACGTCTGTATTTTAGGCAGGAAACGGGAGGAAGGGCTGTTTGCTTTGTCTCTACCCTGGACCTTGCCTTCCATTTCTTTGATCACTCTTGCTGCCAGGGAGGCTGGGGACTATGGTCTTTTAGCTGTGCACGTGGTTTCCCAGGAGAAAACCAGGATTCGGTTGGTGAGAAAGGCAGTGTAGACGTGGATTACCAACGAGCAGTTGCTCCCACAACTCCCATGAACACACAGACCTAGGTCTGAACCCCAGCCTGCCACCTACCGGCTGCTGAAGGAATACTCGCCATGGTGCCAGGCTGGAGCTGGCCCGGTTTGGCTGTGCCTGTTGGGTCTGTACTCAGGAAGTTTGCATTGAGAGGGTCAAGAAGAAGAATGGTTCTGGAGCCCATAAAGCCTTTGCTGTCTGCTGTGGAGGGAGTGTGGCTCCTGGGCTGTGGGCAGTAAGCCCACCGGAGGGCCTTGGACCACGTGCTGCTTCCTGAACTGAAAGATGGAGCGAGGCTGCATCACGTAGGATGCTACCTGCACAGAGAGCCGGAGCACACGTGCGGGGGAGCTGGGTCAGGAGGGCCTAGCCTGTGGCTGCAGCCAGGGGATGCAGGGGTGTAGGCAGTGAGACCTTCCCGGCAGCCTGTGAAAGGTGGGGGGGCCCTTCCCAGGGTGACGATACAATTTATCGTCCCAATCAGGAAGCATCTTAGAGCGGGTGCTGTAAATCAGCTGTAAGTCAGGCCTGTCCTGGAAAAACTGGGACGCACGGTCACCCTACCTTCACCCTGCGTATGACACGGGGCCTGAACTGAGCTCGCTGGGAGGGGTTTGTAGGTGAGGAGCGGTGCAAGAGCTGAGAGCCTCTGCAAACTATTAAACAATTGGTTGAAAACAAGGAATTGGAGAAATTTTAATGCACGAGAAACAACAGCAGGGCACCCCTCCCCCTCTGCCTGGGAATGCGCATATCCTGTGTCCCGAGGGCTGGGGGATGCCTGGCTTTCAGGTCCCCTCCCTACGGGCAGCACACCTATTCCACACGTGACATTCAACTGCTGTTCCGGCTTCCAGGGGCCGCTGGCCTCCGACCTGGCTCTGTGTCCTTCGTGGGGTCCTGTCTCCCGACTCACGCCTGCAGGGCTGGCCGACTCAGCAGGTCAGCCCTCGGTGGAGGGGACCGCTCCCTGCTCCCTCCCGACCAGCATCTGCCCCCGGGGGGCTCCCTGGAAGGTCTCCCTTCTCCCTCAACGGGAGGACTGAGCCCCCAGGCCGTCTAGGCAGCAGGACGCCCCTCGCCCCTCGGCGTGGCCCCGCTGGATTCGGACCCCCCTCCCGAGTCCCGTTGGGACTCAGCGGTGCCCCCGCCTCACAGCTGGTCCTCGTCCACCCAGACGGTCTTGCGCTGCTCGTCCCCGATCTTGTCTTTGATGACGCGGAGCAGCTCCTCCACGCTGCCCCACATGTCCGCCTCCACGCTGGCGTAGAGGCACGGCAGGGCCTCCAGCTCCTTCTCCTTCAGCCGGCACAGGCGCAGGAACTCCTCCTCCGTCTCCGGCCGGGACAGCATCTTCCTGCGGGCGAGGAAGGGCGAGGGAGACGCACAGGGGCGTGGCTTGGCTGGGCGGACCCGTGCTGTGGGACCACCCCGTGCTGCCCCCGCCTCACCCGGGCACCCTACCGACGCTGCCTTCCCCGCTTTGTTTCTCCATAACCTCTACCACTTAGCACCTTACGCACTGTGCCCTTTTATTCTGTTTCTTAGGGAATCCTAAAAGGTGGGGACTTTGAAGTCTTTTTAATTGTGGTAAAGTACACGTAAAATAAAATTTCCCATCCTGACCACTTGTAAGTGTACATCTCAGCAGTGGTAAGTCATTCGCAGCGAAGTGCGTCCATCTCCTTAACTTTCTCGTCTTGCAAAACTGAAACTCGACCCATTAAACGATCACTTCCCCCTGCCTCTCAACCCCTGGCACCCACCCCTCTACTGTCTGTCTCTGTGCATCTGACACCCCCCCCCCCAGGGACCTCGTAGAAGTGGAAGTGCACAGTGTCTGTCCTTCTGTGTCTGGCTTGTTTCACTGAGCATCATGTCCTCAAGGTCCAGCCATGTTTCACCATGTGTCAGTCTCCTTCCTTTTTAAGGCAGAATCATGTTCTCTTGTAGGGATGGACCACGTTTTGTTTATCCATTTATCTGTCAGTGGACACTTGGGTTGCTTCTGCCTTTCGGCTACCGGGAATGATGCCGCTGTGAACATGGCTGCGCAAATACCTCTTGAAGACCCTGCTTTGAATTCTTTTGGGTAGAGACTGAGAAGTGTGACTTCCGGATCACGTGGTAGTTCTACTTTAATTTTTGAGGAAACTCCTTACAGTTTTCGCAGCAGCTGCACCCTTTTATGTTCCCAACCAGCAGTGCGCAAGGGCTCCAATTTCTCCCCATCTGGGCCAACAGGTGTGAGTTTCTGCGTTTTGGACAGCAGCCGTCCTAACGTGTGGGAGGTGGTGAGGTGGGGACTCTGCGCTCCTTTGCTCACTCATGGGGTCCTGGGCCTGGCCCTCAATAGGCACGCTCGGTAAATATTTGTGGAGAGAATGGAGTGGCCTGACCTCTCTCAGTGTCAGCTGCAGTTGTGTTGCAAGGAAGGGTGGGGAGCAGAGATGGTGTCACGTGACAGGCGGGCCACGCCCCGCCCCCACCTCAGCATCACCCTGCTTTCCTCTTCCTAGCAAACCTTACTGCTAACCCTTCAACAATCACACAGGCCCGACCTTGAACACGGACCCAGAATCGGACCTTTCCTCATCGCCCGCCAGACAGGATGTGGTCCCAGCATCACTACGCCTCGTGTGGGCTGTCACGACGCCTGCATCTCGACGCAGCAGCCAGCGGGGCCTTTACATCCCTTATTAGATTAAGTCACTCCTCAAGATCGTCAGTAGCTCCCGTCTCACTCAGGAGACGTCACATCCTTCCGTGGCCAACACGGCCCGGTGTGGTCTGGACCCCCTTCGGCCCCAGTCACCTCTCACCGCTCTGCCCAGCATACTGGCCTCCTCTGGGCCATCCCCGCCTGGGGGTCTGGGCGCCAGCTGTGCCCTCTGCGCCTGCCCGGCCTGGCCTCGCCGTGGTGGGTCCTGCTCCAATGCTGGCTTCCCGGACCACCTGGGTCCCAGGGCGCCCCCATCCCTCCCGGCACCCATCCTCCTGGACGCGTTTTGCGCGCGCATGCGCGTGTGTGCACGTGTGTTACTGTTTCCATTGCTGGAGAGGTCAGGGCCATGTCCCCCTGGACCGGGGACTGACCTTCGATAAGGGTTCACTAAAGGGATGCTCGGGGGAGGGGGTGGGCCCAACACAGCCAGCTGTTCTTGGCGGGAGCCGCAGAGGCTTGGTGAGGTCGGGGAGCGCAGGGGTGCTTTAGGGCCCCTGCGGGGGGGTCCCGGAGCCCTACCTGAACTTCTTGATGTTCTTCTCCGACACCCGGATGAAGAGCACGATGGGGTAGATGCGGGACTTGATCAGGTCCCTGGCGCAGCTGATCCCGGCCTCCAGCAGACAGTGCTTGTTCTGCAGACACAGTGGCCGGCGGTCGGCGGGGGCCCATTGCCTCCTCGGCCTGTGTGGGTGCCTGGGGCGGGTCCACCGGGCAGGGTGGGCTCCACGGGACAGAGCCGGGGGCGAGACAGCCCCGCGTGCCCCCCGCTGAACCAGAGAACGAGCCAGGCAGAACCCAACCTCTGAGAAACAAGGCCCCCCGTCCGGACACCTGGCTCTCCCTGCACAGGGATGGGTGCTGGCAGAGCCCCGGCACCCAGCCCGGGGTGAATCAGGCAGTGTGCGTGAGTCTTAATAAAAACCCAAGTCAGTGTGGTGAACACCTGCTCCTCTATTCTGCCTGCGAGGCGCTCTGGGTACTAGGACGGGGTGGGTGGAAAACACAGGGAAGGTGAGGCGGCCGGATGGTCCGGGGAGGACGTAAGGGCTCTCAAGCACGACTCCCCGGGGCCTGAGAACGCGTCGTTTCTGAAGAAGAATGATCCCTGTTTTGCCACTTAAACCTCTGCACTGAACTTGAATATAGAAAAGCGCACGTGCTCCTAAGCCTGCAGCTCAGTGGGTTTTCACAAAGTGAACGTGCCGGTGGAACCAGCACCCAGGTCCAGTGGCAGAGATGGCCAGCCCAGGCCCCTGCGCCGCCGGTCACTGCTCCTCTGTCTCGCCAGCAGAGCCACTGCTGGATTTCTAACAGCACGGATTCCTGGATGGGAAGCCCTTCGCAGCCGGAATGTTCTCAGCTCCAGCCCTGCCCACTCACTGTCCATCGGCTCCAGCTGTCACGACTCCCTAAGCTTTAACACCCAACAAACGCTTCACGGCGGGCCGACAGCTCTGCCCGTGCTTCGATCCGTGTGACGATGCGGGAGGGGGCGGGAGTGACCATCGGCTGGGCGGCAGGTTCGGAATCTCTGGCTGGACTCCTGCTCTTGCCGTCCCCCAGGTCACCGTCCCAGACTCCGGGGCCGTGACCATCCTCGTGGGCCGAGAGCCCCACCTTCATCCAGCCCTGGAGCGAGGAAGAACTCCACGCTCAGGGCCGGCCAGGGTCTCAAAGCCTGGCTCCAGCAGACTCCAAACTGCGCGCAGATGCCTTTTCTGCGTCACCGCCAAGAAGCCTTCTGATGGTCCACTTCCCCCACCTGGCGAACACGGTGCCTGTCGCCCTCCTGCTCGCTATCTCTGGTCCCTGTCATCACCGCCAGGCGCACACACATCCCTGAACGACGCGGACCAGAGGACCACCACCAGGAAGCCATCAGAAACAGAGGAGGTTCCTCCAACCCCGCAGGACAGGGCTTGGAGACGTGAGCACGTGGTCGAGGGAGAGAGGAAGGAGGTTCACCCGCGGCGAGGCGAGAGCATCGCCCTCCCCATGGCGCTGGTGGCTCACAAGCCCCGTCCGCCTCCAGCTGGCCTCACCTTGGCCGCCACAGCCTCGATGTGGGCGGGAACGACACATTCAAAGGAGTTGGGGTTCTTCTCTCGGGAGTAGATGATGGTCTCTGTCTTCTGCTTTCTGAGGAACTCGTCTCTCGTGACAACATCTGCGGGGAGAGGGGCCAGTCCTGAGGACGGCACAGGCGGTCTCGGGCCGACTGTCCCGTCCAGGCCCCGCCCTGCTTCCTGGGCTCGACAGCGCTGCGTGTCTGATCCCTTTCTGGCCACGTGGAAGTGAATCTCGTCTCCTCCACTAGACCCCGTGGCTTCTCAACTGCGGGCAAGGTCAGGGTCCCACTTTACAGTCCCCACGGCAGCCAGCCATCCGCACCCTTCCGTCGGCCCCTGAGGCCCTGATGCAGGCGGCGGGGGAGGGGAAAGGAGGGCGGCCTGCAGCGGGGGGCTCACCCGGCTTGCACATGGTGAACTCCATCGCGCCCCCCGAGTTGAGCAGCTTCTGCACCAGCGCCTTGGCCAGCATGGTGGGCGTGAAGAGGACGGGCCGGCGGCGCTCGCAGTAGAAGGCGCGCACCAGGCTGTAGGGGATCAGGCTGAGGTTCTTGCCCAGCTCGCTCTCGGGGTCCAGCTCTGGGAGGGGACAGGGAAGGGCTGGTACCGCCTGGGGCAGGGGCAGCCCAGGTGCCCTCTCGGCTCCATGGAGCCTTGAAAACCATTTGGGAGTGGGGATGGGACACCGGGAGCTAGTTCTCAAGGCCCACAGCACAAATGGACGCCAGCCGGCGGCCCGGACGCCCTTCCGTCGTCCAGGCGAGTTTACGGAGTGACCCGTGGGCCGGGCTCTGTTCTGGCAGCTGGGCCAACAGTGCCGGGCCAGGGAGACAGCCCTGCTCACAGGCCAGGAGGCGCCGGCAAGAAGCGCTAACACACTCCAGGTGCTAAGCTGTCCAGGGAGGGCCCGGGCTGAGGCTGGAGTGGAGAGGCGCCCCTGGCCCTCGTCACCATCAGCGCCGGGGCCAGCGTGGCCCTGGGAGGGCTTGCTCGCCGCCGGCAGGGCCTTCCACAGGGGACCGCGCACCGGGAGGCCCCTTGCTGGCTTCACGATAAGTGGCGGTAGGTGCCCAGCGGGGAGAGAATCAATCGGTAAACGCTTCCCAGCAAACAGCTCCAAATAACACGGGCGTCTGGGCTCAAACCAAGTACGGCGGGCGTCGGTCGGGGGAACTTGGCAGGATGCGCCCGGCGGCCGTCGGTCCTCCCGGCCAGGGCCGGGCAGCTCCTCCCCAGGCGCTACCCTTGCTTCGGGGGGCGCAGACGTCCCAGCCCCACTCTCGGGGCCCCCGCGGCCCGCCCAGACCCGAGGCCGCCGCGCGTGCGTGGGGCAGGGGGGAGGGGCTGGGTGGTCGGCACCACACCTTCCTGCTTCTCCGTCAGGAGCTTCGTGGCGTCCAGCGAGGACCGGGCCAGGCTCCCCCGCGGGCTCCCCGCGACGATGCGCACGCGCTCGTGGCTGTTCATCCTTTTGTACTTGTTCTCCGACCTGCTGACGAACTGCGGACAGAGGGGAGGGGGTGGAGGAAGGCGTAACCCGGGCTCGGGAGACCTCCGTTCAGATCCGGGCTCCGCCCCGGGCGCCTGGGTCAGTCACGCCCCCCCTCAACACAGGCGACACCTAGCAGGTGGCGCAAGTTCCTTAGCTGTCTGGGCGCCGTCAGCAGACAAGGAAGCGAACAAATGCTCACACTCTCTTCCCCGGCTGGGCGTAAGCTGCCAGAGGGCTGGTCCCAAGCAGGCCCTCAACGGAGCCCCCCTGCAATCCCACCCACATCTAGGGGATCCACGGGCACTGTGAGGCCTGGAGCGCTCTGGCTGTGGAAGACCCCTGGCCGCCCCCAAAACGGCCCACCCGGCGGGGGGTGCAGGTGACTTCACCCCCGGCCTCGGCAACCCCGAGTCTTCCGGGGGAGTGCCTGCGCCCTTCTACCATTCAGAGTTGAGACCTGGAGGGCGGAAGGGGTTGCCCAGCGGTGGACACCATACTCCCTGGGCTACTTTGAGACTCTCCACGCCCTCCCTCTGCAGGGAGGAAAGTCCAGGGAGCTGGGATGTCAGCCCTGCTCTGTTGTTAACCGGCCTTCGAGTAAGTCACCCAAAAACTCAGGGTTTTGGACGCATGCGTGACGTGTGGGCACAAAAAAGTGTGGTCTCACGTGGTCCTGCTGTCAGGGGTGCCTCGGACTTCACCAGGGTTCCCTTCCGCCTCCGTAAGTGTCTTTCTGCTGCCTGTTTGCCTCTACCTGGGTTTCAGGGCCACACTGTGAACCATTTCTCTGGGTTTCCCATGTTCCAACGTTAGGATGGAGCAGTGGAGTGACACACTAGCTCTGCTGGGGCCTAATTAGCACAGAGCCAACACGGGAACATCCTTGCGGGGCGACATCTTAATAGTACTCTCAGCTTTTGTGAACTGGTGATAGAGAAAAAGGCCGCATGGAACACTTCTGCGTTTATGTGAAATCACTTCTGAACACATCACCCACGAGGCTGTTCAGTGTTCCTCGTATAACGATCCGTGCCAAAGAGAAAAAGAAAAAAAACCTCTTAGAATCAAGTACAAGGGAAACATTTTTCCTGCTTCCAAAGAGCTAAAACGTTTTGGCACCAGGTAAGATATAAAGACTCTGCTGGGTTTCCCTTTCTTCCCTGGCTGCTAGGATGCTCAGAGGTAAATTTAATGCGCAATCTGAGGACCTGGATATCTGGAATGTTTGTTTTCCTCTCCTCACTTTTCCATTAATATTTGAGCAACTAAGATGTTTAAGTCTCTTTTAGCCCTAAGTTTGCTCAAATCTTTTATGAAAGTGAGGTTTGCTTCCAACAGGTGCAGACTGTCTACCGACCTGTCACTGTGAGGATAAAATGGGACAGAAGATGTAAGGTGCCGTGAAAAGCTGCAAGTGGGGGACAAACACAGAGCACTGCTGTTCTGATACAGCCTCCTCTTCTCTGTGGGGAGAGGGCAGGCCTGCGGCAAAACGTGGCTGCAGGTCAGCAGGCGCTCCGAGAGCTTTACCTGAAGGAGCTGGCCGAAAAGGAAACTTGCTCGTGAGAGGCGGGGGCTGACCCGGGGGTCCGCAGCGGGAAGTGGTTCTTCGGGCTGCAGGGTGTTCTGAAATCAGTTTATCAACCGGTCAGACCCGCCGGCATACTGATGCCGCTGGGCACGGGGGACGGCTCCCAGCCCCGCCCTGTGCTCACGGGGATCCCGTCGTGGATCAGAGCACTCCTGACAGGGGAGCAAGCTCAGGGGGTGAGAGGGGCCTCGGGACTTGTTCCAACAACGACCGGAGCCGGCCGAGGGGAGCGTGCACCGCAGCTGGGGAGGGTGCAGAGGTGGGGCTCCTTCTGGAGGGGGCGGCCCTAAGGAGCCCGGTTCCCTGCAATCCACCATCCCACGGATATGGATGGCTCCCACTTGGGATCCCCTCCAAAAGGGGCTCGGGAGGTGGTGTGAAGCCGGCGGGGTGCTGGGTGACCTACCCGGAGGGCCCTCAGGGTGTGGTGCGCCGTGTCCACCTCCTCCCGGCTGCCCCGGTGCATCAGGCGCTGCAGCTTGACCAGGAGGAGCTGCTGGGCTCTGGGGAGGTGAGAGGGGAGGGCGGAGCCTCAGGGGTTGGAGAGACCCCAGGGCCGAGCCTGGGGAAGCTGGCGGGGGGCCCGGCCCGGGCAGGGGGCTCTACGCAGGGTGTGCGCTCTGAGCCCCAGGGGTACACCAGGGAGGGACTGGGCACTGAGCATCTGGGCTTGAATCCTGCCTCTGGCACTGACTCATCTTGGTACTGGGGCAAAGTCGCTTAACTTCTCTGAGCCTCGGTTTCCTCATCTGTAAATTGGGTCTACTGAGGCTGGCCTTGCAGGGCTGGCCTGGGCAGCAGAGTCAGAGTCTGTGGATGCTTTATAGATGCCCGGGGCGTCTAACCAGGGGCCCTCAGCGGCTACTGCTATATAATTACAGAACGACGTTGGGGAGATGGGCTACGGAAAAGATGACCGTTGAACACAGGAAGCATAAACTCAGGCTCTAAGCTGTCCAGTAATGATGGAAAGACGGTGCTCTGGGATTTAGTGAAGCAACGGGATTTAAGAGAGCAACATTCCTGGGGGGCTCCAAAGAGGAGGAGGGAATGGGGGGCGGTCACTGGTCGGCAGGCAAAGGCTCCCCGCCGTGAGCCCCTCTGCCGAGCTGCACGGCCCCCGCGGCCTCACCGGCTGTAGCTGGGGATGGTGCCCGTGTCCAGGTCGTGGTCCGTGAAGGGGTCGACCCGTGCACACAGCCACTCGTGCTTGTCCTGGTACATGGTGTCACGGACGTGCACGACGTCATCGCACTTCAGGGACATGGAGCAGGCGTCCAGCTGGCTGGAGATGTTCAGGTTGAGCCGGATGTAGAAGGAGTCCCCCGACGTGATCAGGCCCTCCTCCATGTCCTTCAGCAGCTTCCGGTACCCTGTGGGAGGAGAAGACGCAAAACCCATCGGTGAAGGGCCTCCCACTCCTGGGCTCCCCGCGGATGACACCCCTGTGATGCGGTCCTCCCATCATGGGGGCGTGGTTAGGGAAACGTCTGTACTCCCCGAGGAGTGAGCAGCTGAGTTACTGATGACTTTCTCTCTTTGTCTTGGCTGCCAAGAAGCTCAGAGCGAAATTTTGTGCCAAGTGGCAGCAAATCTAGGACCTCTGCTGCGATCTCCATGTCCCTCCCTACCGATACACGGTGCTTGTGTTTTATCATTTTTGTCTTTGATTGATAGGTAACTTACATGCAGTAAACCCCATCACCCTTAAGCATTCCACACGATGGATGTTCACGAATGTCTAGACCTGGGTAACCACCACTCAGAACCTTCCCTCATGCCCATGTCAGAACCCTGCAGGGGTAACCTCTGTGCTGACTGCCAGCAGCCCAGGTGAGCGCTGCCTCGCTTCATATGCATGGAAGCAGACGGTACGTGCTCTTCTGCCAGAATGTGTCTGACATTCACTGCACGTCACGCCTGTGCGCTTCAACCGCGATGCTGCAACGTAGCATCGTGTGTTTTTTTTTTGGTGTGCACCGTTTTCAAAGTCCCCATTGTATATTGCCTCTGTTTCATGTTCCCGCTCCTTGGCCACGAGGCATGTGGGATCCCAGCTCCCCAACCAGGGATCGAACCCACACCCTGCCACACTGGAAGGAGGAGTCCCAACCACCGGAAAGTCCGGTTCTTTTTCATTGCTGTGGAGTATTCCTTCCACGTGGTGCTGACTTATCCTTTCTCTGGTGTGCACATCTGTCCTGTTTCCAGCTACTATGGACACCTCTGCTACGAACACTCTTACACCTTTGTGGACGTACGTACTCATTTCTCTTGGATGTGTTCACAGAAGTGGAATTACTAAGTCACTGTGTATACGTTCAGTTTTAGGAGATACCGCCAAACGGTTTTCCAAGGTGGTAGGACCACGGCACACGTTTTAACCTTAGTTAACACCATTGCCCTTTAGTGTGAAATTTTATGACTCCTTTTCGAAGGAAGCAGGGCATAAAACTATGAATACAATAAACGCAGTAACTTTCAGCAAACGTCCAAGACATAAATCCGTAATATAAATCCTGAAATCAGCCCCACACGCAGACAGCCATAACACAGTGGAAGCTAAAACAGTCCTCATGGCCAGGCCCAGAAATAGCTCCTCAAATGCTATGTCTCACAGGCGACACCCCACACACCAGGGAGACTTGAGCCAGCAGGCCCATCTGAACACGGAGAGACGGGATTCCCGGCTGGGCCCTTCCCACCCACCTGGGCGGGATTAACACTAATCACCATCTGAGGGCTCCACCACCCGAGAGGAAAGGCCCTACAGACAGGATCCTGCCAGAGGGAACCCTTCTTCCACTGAATTCCAGACACAGGGCTGCTGCTACACAAAGCCAGGGGGCTCTGCTCGTACCGGGTTCTACGGCACCGGGGCTGGTGGGCAGGGCAGCGCCCGAGACTTCCTGCTGGGCTGGGATGCCGGCCTGGCACAGGGGAGGAGCCCTCCTGCAGGAGGAGAAGACTGGGCCCTGTGTCTGGGGACAAGCATCATTACTTCCGCACTGACCGGGCACTGCCGGGAAGGAGCACGGACGAGCAGGCGGCAGTGGGGAACCGCTAGAGAGAGCAGCTATTTATGCTCTGCTGAAACATTCATGAGCCCCTGGTGGTTAAAAATAAGACCCAGCTGCAGAGATAATCATGCAAAAAAAACCCAGAGGTGAGAACGAGAACTCAGAGTTGGGGAGAAGGAAGACGCTGCCTAGGAGTCTGGGTCGGGAAAGAGGAGACACCCTGAAAAAGCTGCTGGAGGGCCAGATGAGAAGGGGGTGAGGCCCGGCTGTCCTGCAGCAGATGGCCTGGCCACGGTGTGGCTCAGTGGGCCCGCGGGTGCAGGGGCGGTCACCCCAGACTCACCGCCTACGTCAGGGCCGGGAAGCCCGAGAGAGAAAAAGCAAACCTCAGCCTTGCAGAGAGAGCGGGGAGCTGGCCGGGCAGTCTGCTCGCGGCTGGACGTGCTGCCTCCGCCGTGAGTGGGGCAGAGGCCCGAGGCGCGCCAGGGCAGGTGTGCCCACGTGTGTCAGCGCGTCTGCCCTTCCCGCCCCACACCTGCCCCCTCAGTCCTCCTGACGAGCAGATGAGCAAGGGGAGGGACCGCCCGCCCCGCCTGGGGTCTTCACCTTCCTGGTTGACCTTGTAGTGCAGTGTGACGGGCCCACTGCACCTCTGGACGGTCCAGTGCACCTCCTCCTTCGTGCACGTCTCCAAGGGGACGCTCTGCTTCTCGCCTTTGACGCAGCCTTCTAGCTAGATATCAAAGACACATTGTCCTGCTCGGGCTCCACGGCGAGGCGAGCGGAGCTGCGGGGGTGATACTGCCCCGCCGGGGAACAAAAGCACCTCTCCTCAACAAAGACCAGCTCAGCGCTGCTGAGGGAAGAAAGCATCGCGCTTAAATGGGGTTCACGTGCCTCCCGCCCGCCGCCCGGAGCACGTGTGCGCGCGTGTGCGCGTGCACAGGCTCTAGGAACACGAGCGAAGAGTCGTGGAGAGGCGGGCCCGGGGAGGGGCTTCCAGAGAGGAGCTGACAGGCCCGCCCCCTGGCAACCCCTCCTCCTGGCCGGGAATCCGCAGCGTAATGCAGGCTTGGGGGTGGGGGTCCCTGCGCTGTCAGCAGCAGATGTGCAGAGGAACCAGAACTGCTGCCTCCCCCAGCCCCCAGCCCCTCACCAGCAGCAGCTGGTGGCCCTCGCGGAGGCCGGCCTTCTCGGCCAGGGAGCCTGGCTTGACCGCGTGGACGAAGCTCCCGCGCGCGTTGCCCCCAAGCAGCGTGAGCTGGGAGATGAGGCTATCGCCGCTCAGCGTGGTGTGCTGCACCGCGGGCCCGGGGCCCCGCACGTGCCCCAGGGACGTGACAGACGGCCGGAAGGGTCTGCGTCGGGAGATAAGACGGGGGTTAGGCAGCTGTAGCTAGGACTCCCGGCCGGGACGCCCAGAGAGCGGGGCCTGGGCTGCAGCGTCCCCGGGGAGTCACGGCAGCGGCCACCTTAGGAGAGAGCTGGCGACCGGCTCCTGCTGTCACAGCACACGCCAGAAGCAGGGGCCCCGGGAGACACGGCCACCGGGAGACGGAGGTCACACACGCCCCGGCTGCTTGCATCGGGTGCAAGGGCTGTCGGCCCCTCCTCGCACCCCGGGAAGGCTGCCTGGGCACAGCCCACCGGGCTTCGGGGAGTCACGGGTGGGGCCTGGGGCCGGTCTGACATGAGAGTCCTGTTCCTTGCCTCTGCCAGGCTGTGTGGCCCCGGGCAGGCCCCTTCCTACATGGGCCTGGCTGGGGGTCAGGGGTAGTGATTTCTGACTTTGGGACACTATGATTCCCAGACTCTGATTCTAGAATACGGGTGCTGTGGACGATCCCCTTTGCAGGGGATCGAGGGGAGAGCAGCCTTCACCTCATCCCTGCCCCTCAGCCCAGCCCCCCGTCTCCCGTGACCTCGGTACCTTTCTAGAGAGAACTTCCTAAACATGAGGTTGACCTGCTCCAGGTCGTAGGCGTCCAGGCCCTCAGACTGGTGCGAGGAAGAGGAGGAATGGGTGGAGGGGGGTCCGAAGGGGAACCGCTCGTGGCTGTCATCTGCAAAGGCGTAACGGACGCTTCAGGCCCCTGAGCAGGAGGGAGGGCGGCCCGCGGCCTTCCTGACGTGGCCGAGGCGGCTCCTCCCTTTCTGCCTCCTGGCAACTCCTCCGCCCTCCCCGGATGAGGGAGCAGCGTCAGTCAGCGGGTCCCGGAGGCCCTGGGGGTATAGGGCCCAGTCCCGGCATCCTCTCCTTCAGAGCCACTCCCCCGCCTCCACGGGGAACCTGGAAAGGCGCCGCCATTAGCAGGCACTGGCTCTGCTTTGGAATCGGGGTCCAAAGTTTCATCTGGGGACCTCAGGTCTAGCCACCATCTACCGGCCTCTGTGGGTCTGGGGCGGGGCTGCAGGACCAGCGTGTGGACGGAGTAAGGAAGCCCCCACTCCTCCCAGCTCGGCGGAACCCCAAGCCCCCCAGGGAAACACGCCCACCCTGCACAGCTCAGGCCGCTGGGATGGGAGATCTGCAAGCCCTGCTCTGGGCTGATAACAAAGGCTTCTCTGCAGAGAGAATTTGTCCCAACATTGCAAAACGCTCTGGACGGCTGCCCAGAATTCTCTTCCCAGCTCTCCCCTTTCCAAACTCCTGGAGCTCTTCCCATCACCCAGCCTCGATTAGGTGCCGACCCCTCTTTAACACTTGAAAGCTGCTGGTGGTCACCAATTAAGGAGAGCCACTAATCTTTCATTTTATCTGCTGGCAGCCTGAGCCGGTGAGGGGTGGAGGCAGGCTGGCGGGAGCCCTGGAACCGAGGGGGCTGGCGGGCCACACCCAGAGGATTCTGAGCCCGGCTCCACGCTGCCAGCTCCTCGGGGCCCGAGGACGCTGCCACCATCCCAAGGCGCCGGGCCATCTCCCGAGAAGCTGGAACCCTTCCTGTTCTTCTCCCTCCTGTCCATCCAGTCAGAAGCTCAGGTCTGGGGACTTCCCTGGTGGACCAGTGGGTATGACCCTACTCTCCCAATGCAGGGGGCCCAGGTTTGATCCCTGGTCTGGGAACTGCATCCCACATGCTGCAACTAAGAGTCTGCGTGCTGCAACTAAAAGATCCCGCATGCCGCAACTAAGGCCCAGCGCGGCCAAAATAAATACGTGATAAAATAAATAAATAGGGGCTTCCCTGGTGGCGCAGCGGTTGAGAGTCCGCCTGCCGATACAGGGGACACAGGTTCGTTCTCCGGTCTGGGAAGATCCCACAGGCCGCGGAGCGGCTGGGCCCGTGAGCCATGGCCGCTGAGCCTGCGCGTCCGGAGCCTGTGCTCCGCAACGGGAGAGGCCACAACAGTGAGAGGCCCACATACCGCCAAACAAACAAAAAGCAGCTCAGGTCTGCAAACCTGCATGGGTCTCCCCACTGGTCCTCAACTATGCCACCACAGTCTCTGCCACAGCAAGAACTCAGGGACACAGGTTCTGTGTCCCACGCAGCTGTAACAGGGCCTGGGAGGTGCAGGAACTCAACGTGTGCTGGGCCTCGCGGCTGTAAGGGGTGGTGGCTGGCGGGTGCTGCGTGCACGCTTACTCCCTGGAGACGCAGCCCTCGTTTCTGGCTCTGCGTGGCAACATGCTGGGCCGAGGGAAAATCCCCTCCATCATACCAGCTCTGCCTGTGGGTCGGGTTCAGGGCTACCACAGCCCCTCCAGTCTCCCCAGTGCCTGCCTGCCCCACACCTACAGTTTCAGGGAATGAAAACCAACCTTAATGGCCGCCCCATCTCCATCCCAGGGCCCCAGCCCCATGCCTGCCACTCGTCTCGCCGAGTCTGGTTAACAGCTCAATTAACACCTGGCTTCCTAAGGGGTCCCCCTGCTTCCAGTCCCTCCTCCACCACACTCCTCCTTAGTCTCCCTAAGACTCTGTTTCTTCATCTGCAAAACAAGGACGACAACAGCATCTCTGAAAACAGCCGCTGGGAGTCACTGGAACTGGATCACGGCGCTTGGCTACCATCACGAGAGCTACGCTTTCTTAAAAACCCAGACCTGACTGATTCTACACTCAGCATCGGGATGGTTCCTACTGTCTGCGGAACAAAGGACAGGCCCCTCGGGCGCTTCCCGGCCTGAGCCGCTCAACCGGCGAAGGCCTGTCTTCCTTGTGCACAGACAGCCCTCTCGGAATCCACTCTGCACACGTCTCCTGAGGACCTACTGTGTGCCAGGCTTGCCCCAGGCAGGCTCTGCTGGAAGGTCAGGATGGGGCCGACGTGGCTGCCACCCCTGTAATGTCTCTCAGACCTGCTGGGTACCCACCGTCAAGATCTAAGGCATCGAAGCCACCGCTGTCATTGTCGTCTTCAACTGTGCTGCAAGACATAAGGGGGGACAGGAGAGCTCTCCTGACTGTGTGTGCAGGTGGGCAAGGGAGAGCGAGGCTTCCGGAACGTTCTGGCTGTCCGAGAGGCTGTGGCTCTGAGAGGGCAGGATGGGTGGGAGAGGAAGGTCAGCAGGTGGGTGGAGGGCTGTGGGCCACGGGAGGGCTGCACGAGGCTGGGTGCTTTGCTGGGAGGGCAGGGCGGCCCCAGAGCCTGCAGAGGCCGCATTAGCTGGCGTGAGGACGGACAGGAAGAGCTGCTGAGCAGAGTCCCCGACAGCCCCACCTGCTGCTTCCCACTCATTCCTCTCCCCGGACGCAGAGTGCTTAACAGCGTTTATACTCGGACGGGCTGCATTGTGTGACGGGCCCAAACAGACAGGACAGGACGGGAGTGAGGCTCGTGTTCCAAGAGCTGTAAGCTGTCCCTGTGTGGTTCCTGTGATGCAGTAATGAGGCCCAAGCCAGGTGGCTGGCAGGACCCAAGGTGGAGATCCAGCCCCGCCGGCCACTCCTTGGTCTGGCCCTTCTAGGAACCACCACCAATCTCTGACTCTGAACGTACGGTGCTAAATATCTGATGACTGGAAACATCTGGATGCCCAGGCATATCTCTACTGTGGTCTCCACAATGGGGACACTGATGGCCTCCACGAGGTGAGGAAAGGGGAGAGGCAGTAGCAATGAGGGGAACATTCACAGGGTCTCTCACTCTTTGGCAGAAAAAGCCAAGCTCTGGAACCATGGGATGGAGAAACCTGATTTCTCGGTAGCAGGGGGCAAAGCGATGTCGGTTTCGTCATTTGCTAGCTAGCTGGGGGGCCCTGGGAAAGCCATGTCCCTTCTCTGAGCCTCAGCTTGCTCATCTGTAAAATGGGCACCATCCTGCCTGTATTTCAAGCTTCCCTTAAGGACTGCCGCGTTAGTTAAGTGTCGAGCGGCACAACAAGCACCAGGAAAATGTCCCGCCCCCTCCCTCCCCCTGTCACCCACCTCCGATGAGGCGCATCCTCCTTACAGCGTCTGACGATGGAGTCGTTCCCTGGGGGCTCGGCTGTGATTGACATGATGCTGGAACGGCTTCGATGGGGCTGCTTCAAACACACACACACGTTACGGGGAGCTGCACCTCCGCGGGCACAAATATCATACACACACAGACTAAACTTAAATCAGATGCGGCCCCGCCTGCTACACAGGCAGTGTGCGCCCGCAAGCTGGTTCTCAGCGGCGACCTTGGCCGAGGAAGGCTCGTGCTCAGCCTGGGGCGGCCGAAGCCACCAACCCTGGTGCACGTCTGCTCGCCCTGGGGACAGGAAGCGGGGAGGCGGCTGGGAGCCCGAGAGACGGTCCTCGTTTGTGCCCAGCACAGGCAGAGCTCTCTGTCCCCAGAACTGCCCAGCCTTGGGCACCTGCTCTGGACGAGAGGAAGACCTTTGGGGCTGGTGGATGCCCACGCAGACAGCTCGGCTGCTGGAGGGTGGCCCTCTGAGACAAGGCCCGCTGGCTCCTGGCAAGGGCTGCCTGCACTGAGCGCCTGGGATTTCCCCCCCCCAGAGCTGGGCTCAGACAGGGGCCATTCCTTATCGCGTCTCTCTCCTCCAGGGCCTGACGCTGGAGCAGCTGACCAGCTTCCCAGGGCTTCCCCTCGGGCTTAGAATTTCTAATCCCACGCCTCCTGCTGCCTGGCTAGGGGGAGTGACACCGCTCCGCCCAGGTGGGCTGGAGGGAGGCGCGCGGGTGCCGGGCAGGCCTTGCTCTGCCGCTCTGGCCCCCGCCGGCTGCCCCCCTCCAGCTGCCGGAGTCGCCAGAGGCTGAGACGCGGCAGCGTCAGCCGCCTGTGCAACTCGCCGCAGCCCTGCGGAGGCCCGTCTCTTCCGCCCACCGAGGGTTAAATTGGGAAAGGAGGTGGCAAGAAGGTGTAAACACATCGTGAGGCCAGGAGACATCGAGCAGGGCCTGGGCTGCAGCCCTGGGTGAGGAACGCACGCGGGCTGGGCCCGCGGGGCGGGCGAGGCCGGGGTGGGGGGCCCGGCCCGAGCTCCAAGCCGCAACGGGGAGCGGCGGTGAGGGCCCTGCTCACCATCTTGGAGAAGGAGGTGGTGATGGGCAGCGACCCGGAGGAGCTGGGGCTGGCGTCCGTCACGTCTTCTTCGTGTCCCCTCCCTGTCCTCGGTGAATCGGGCAGGAGGCGCAGACGGAAGGGGCAGGGGAGAACGGGGAGGGCAGGGTCAGTGGGAGCCCCTGGGGCACTGCGCCCCTGCGGCCGTCCTGTGGGGGGGGCCTCCTCTCCCCTCTGCTTGAGGAAGAGCCGGGTCTTTTCCCCACCATGTCCCTCCCCCCACACAGGCCCAGGGCGGCCTCGTCAAGGCTGGACGATGCCCTCCGTCCTGAGGGCCAAGGTGGGCATCCCGGCTGGCACTCTGTGTGTAACAGTGGGAACTGGGGCCGGAACGTCCCCACTAAACAGGCTGACTGGGGACCGGGGCCAATGGGCTGGGTGTGCTGCATCCCGCGCAGACCCTGGCGCCCCTGTGCTCCTTCGAGGCTGCCTGGGGGCTTCTGCACACTCCTTTCGGCCCTCGTCTTGCTGCAGGGGAGCGGTCAGCTTCCCCATCCACAGCCCCACGCGCTGGTGTGTGTGCGTGCGTGTACGTGCGTGCGTGTACGTGCGTGCGTGTACGTGCACAGCCAGCCGCATACGTGCACCCTGGTCCGTGGCGCCCTTGAGGTCCCTGGCCCAGCACCCCACGTCAGGCAGCCGGCAAGGCTCCGTCTCCGCTGCACCCCTTTCCCTCTCCTGGGCACAAACGCCCTCTCCACTTCTGCTGGCCGCAGGCCCTTTACACCTCCCTTCTGTACAAGGTCCCTAAAACACCTGGTCTGGCCACCAGGGAAGTGGCTCGGCCCCCACCTTAGGGCTCCCCTTCCCCCGGTGTCCCCACCAGGTGCAGCCCAGATCTGGACCCCTGGCTGCCCTGCTCTCCTTGGCAGGATGAAGCCCGTGAACTCGGGCCTGGCTGTCAACCTCTGCGGGCTCGTTCCTGGCGCCGTCCTGCTCTGACCCTAGGAGGCAGCACAGCTTTCTGTATCACACGCTTCCCAGGCTGCACATCCATGTCTCTGCTTCCTGCTCCATCCCGGGGGGCCCTTCCGGAGGCTGTGCCCAGTGGCCTCAATCCTCCCTTTTCTAGACCCCGTCTGCACGTGCCCTTCTTGACAGATCCTTCTCCAGCCTTCTTCCAACTGCTCTCTTAGGTGTCCAGAGCCACATTCCACCTCCTCACCGATGGCCCTGCCCGAGTACCTGGGCTCTGGAAGCATCTACGTGGACCTGCCAGCACCTGGCACACAGTGGGTGCCCGGTGCACCCAGGCAAACCCAGCCTAGCCAGCTGTCGCTCCAGAGTGGCGCTGAGGAGGAGTGAGAGGAATTCTGGGGACAGTGTGTCTCGGAGAACCCGGGGTTGAGGGGTGAACTGGTGGCCTCCCACGCCGGGGACTGCCTGCCCGGAAGTCCGGGAGGGAGGCCAAGTATCGGGGCTCCGGACGGACCCACGGGGAGAGGACCTCAGATGTGACGTTTCCGTGGTCGGGGCTCCCGCCCTCTCCGATGACAGCGAATAGTAATCACCATCTGGACACCCTGCCGCCCCGGGGCCCCAGGGCCCCCGAGACCCCTCCCGGGTTAACCTTGCAGGATCGACGCCTATGATGGGAGAAACAGATGGACCGAGAGTCAGAGTGACAGACAGGAGAGGGATCCGGGCGTCTCACTAACCTTGAAAATCTGATGTTCGCTTCAGGCTGATGGGGGATTTGGCTCTCTGCAGCTGAAAGAGGGGAGGGGAAGCAAGGAGACAGAGGACACAAATCAAACAAGGCCTGAGACACACGTCACCGGCGCTAAGGCAAGAAAGAAACTGAGGCGAGCCCACGCCGCCCTCATCACGTGGCCGCAGGAACCACGGAGGGCACAGGATACCCCACGGCCGTGGCCCCCTGGCCCAGCGCAGGCAGCCGCTGGTACAGACACGCTCGCCCCACGGGAGGCGCTGCCACGTGGCTCGGATGGTACAAGGGCCGAGAGTGGAGGTGGGGTGGTACTGTGCCGCTGAGCAGAACTGGCTACACGGCACGGGGGAGCCTTCAGGAACAGACGAGGCTTTGGGGCAGCTGCCCCGGCCACCCCGGCATTAGGTGCTGGCGGGTCCAGGCCGGCCTCCGAGGTGCTGCCCTAGGCCTTCCCGCTCCCTGTGTGCGAGGGCGGGGAGAGCAGAGGCCCCGCCAGGCCCCGCGTGTGAGACCATCTCATTCACTCAGTCACATTCATTCATTCCTCAGCTGATGGAGCGCGCTAGAGACAGAGCAAAGCAGATAGGATGAGTGCTGCAACTCCAGCTCCATCACGAGCCACTGACGTCGGGAAACACGCGACAGGCGCTCAATACCTATTCTCTGAATAAACAAGTGAATTTGGAGATCGTGCTTGTATCGTTCTCTCTCCTCTCTCTTAACTTGTACTCCATTCGTAGGAGATGAAAGAATTCGCCGGAACAGACAAGCGAGAAGCACAAAGCTGGCACGGTTTCCCTTCACAGGGCTGACGGCGGTCAAGTCGCATCCGGGGTCTGAGACCCGCCCCAGGACCACGTGAGGCCCTGCTGCCTCCTCCCCCGCGTGCAGGGGGCCCCCAGCGCCCCGGTCCCCACCCCCGGCGCCTCCCAGGCTGCGTGCGAGCACCTGGATGCCCTTCAGGTTCATCCTGCGCTTGGGCGGGTGGTAGGGCAGGAAGTAGCGGCTGTCCTCTGGCGAATCCTCTGAGGTTGAAGAATCGTCAGCCTCCTGACCGTTGGTCCTGGGGCTGGTGTCCCCAAAGTTCTGAGAGATGATGGTCACTGGCAGGTTCCTGGGCAAACTCTGGAGACAAGGGGAGGCCGTGTCCGTGACGGGGCACGGAGGAGCTGCCGCCACGCACAGGAACAAGCTCTAATGGAGCTATCACTCCCTCGGGCCCCAGGCTTGAAGCTCGGACGGCCTCCTCCTCTTTCCTGACCCCCGCGTCCACCCCGATGCCAAGACCTACCACGCTAGCTCCACTCTCCTCCTCACAAGACCCCCGCCCCCATCTCCCTCCCGCCGGGGCCCTGGCGCAGACCCTCGCACTGTGCTCTTTACAGTAGAGGGACTGCCTCTCAGATGGCCTTGGCCCCTTATCTGATACACCACCATCAGATCCACAATTTCAGGCCCTAGGCCTAAGCTACAAATATAAGAAATGTTGCTGAATGACTGGATAATGATAACGACAGTGCCAGGTACTGTCCTAAGTAATTTATAGCCATTATCTGAAGCTGAAGTGCAAGGATATTACGTAACTTCTGGTTGGTCCCCTCAAAGCCACATAACACCCTCATGCTACGTTGCCTCCAAACCCAAAGCTTTTGGCCTTACTTCCCGCACAAAATCCTTCACGTCCAAGAATAACTCACGACCGAGCTCCTTAGACGACGGGCCCACTCGGCTCCCTCCTGCTACCCGCTCCAGCCCACCTCCTGCCTGTCCCCACCTCCCGCTCCATGGATGACAGACCTGCCAAGCGCGGCCTGCCGACGGCATGCCATGGGTGTCACGCCTCCAGGCCTTTGCTCATGGTGTCCCTGTGGGCTGGAATACAGCCCCATCTTTCCTCACCTAGCCAGGCGCCGTCACAGCTTTCGTTCATAAATTCAGCAGATGCTCCCCGAGGGTCCACCCTGTGCCTGGCCCTATGCTACACGCTGGACAAACAGAGGGGCCTACACGGAGCTGCTGCGTCATTACAAACTGTGGGAAATGCGCAAAAGTTGAGGGCATAACACAGAGGCTCCTGGTTTCCATCAGGAACCGGTGAAGGCCTAGCTGAGGAAGTTGACACTTCAGCCAACCCCAGAAGGGGGTCAAAACTTGGCCAGGTGAAGTCCGGGGACAGCATTCCAAATGGAGGTCCCGAGGCTGGCTTCTCCTGTAGGGAGTCTTTCCCGGAACCCTGACAGAATGGAGGCCTCCTCCCCTGGGCGCCTACAGCGCCCCTCCAACGCGTAATTTACAACACTTGCGTTGAAATGTCACGCTCCTGGATCTGCGTCCAGCACTAGATCTGAGTCCTCTGGGCGAGGGGCTGGGAGGGTGGGTCCAATCCTGGTTTCCCTGGGTGACTGACTAGCGATGCCCTCGGGGAAGTTACTCAGCTGCTTGTGTCTGGATTCTACCCTTGGCCAAGGAAGACAGCGATCTTACTGTCCTGGCGGGCAGTCCTGCGGCACAGAGGGCACTTAGCACGGTACCTGCAGACACAGGCACCCAAGCCCACAGCTACGAGAGTGATAGTATCATCTACCTGCCTGCATCACGGCATCGCTCACTTCGGAGCGCCTGGGGCCCCGCGGTGACACGTGCCTGAACTTCAGATCGAGATAAACGACGGTTTCCTTACAGGCCCTACTGACTTTAATGGGAGCAGGGCGTCTTACACCCGATGACCATCCAGAAGGGTTTAAGGACACCCAGTGGCAGGCTAACGGCCGACAGAGGTCCCCTGAGGAGGAGCTGCGGTTCTAACGCGGGAGTGACTTGCCCGAGATCACCCGGCCAGCAAGCGGCCCGGCCAGGCTTTCGTCCTGCCTCTTCTAGCTTCAAAATGAGCGGCTTCTAACTCATGACGACCCAGACACACGGCGGCTCAGGGGCACGGCTGCTCTGGGCGTGGGAGGGAAGGGTGTGCTTCCTCGCGGGAGCGCGCGCGCCCGGCAGCCCCACCTGCTCGAGGCCGCCACTGTCCCTGGAGAGGCGCCGGAGTTTGCTCTCCAGGTTCACGATGCAGGCTTCCCGCCGGACCATCTCAATCCTCATCTCGTCGTTCTTCTCCTCCAGCTCGCGGATCTGTTTCCTGTACTTGTCCTTTTCGATTAAGCACTGGGAGTACTGGGTCTGCGCCTCGTCCCGGGAATGGAAGGCCTGCCCGGAGGAGGAGAGGGACAAGGCTGATTGGCTCTTTGCCCCGACGCTCCCAAGTCAGACCCAGACGCCCGCTCCCCAGCCCACGTGTCAGTCCCACGGCCTCTGGCCCTTTTCTGGACCCTGACCCCTGGGCGTTTCAGTCGATACCATCCTGAACAACACGTCACAGCCCCCGTCTATCCAGCCCCGGCTGTGTCTCTTGGAGCCCACCCTCCGCCCTAGCGAGCGGCACCATTATTATTATTCCCACTTCACAGACGAGGCCTCCAGGGAGTGGCAGCTCGCCTGCAGCCACGCGTCTGAAGAGTGACGGGGTCTGGACCTGGCCATCTTACTCTAAAGCCCGGGCCGCCGGGCTCCAGCTCAGGCCCCCATGCTATTCAAACGAACTGGGATAGAATTCATTTTGGGAACGGAAGCAGGAAAGATGGATTCACGAGTGATTCCGGCGGAGTTAATGACACTGCCCCGGACAAAACCTCCTGCTGGACCCCACGGCCCGGAGCCCGCAGGCCTGCTGCGCAGCCGCCCCGGGCAGCCCGTACCTGGTCGCGCTCCCGCTCCACCTCCTCCAGCTGCAGCATGAGGGTGTTCATGCGGTGCTTGTACATCTCGCAGTCCTTCCCCAGGGTCGAGCACTTCAGCTGCAGGTCCTCCTTCTCCTCCAGGTACTGCGAGCACAGGGGGAGATCAACACACGCGTCAAGCGGTCATCAATCGGGGCCGAGAGCCGTTTTCTGGCTGCGTCTTCCCAGAGCCGGCCTGCCCCTCCCCACGGGCCTGACCTCGTGAGAGTCAGCTCTCTGACCAGAGGGGACCAAGGTAAAAGGCCAGTCCACCAACGGAGATTTGCTGTGGACCTACTACGTGCCAGGGAATGAGCGGGAGACAGGGTGGACGCCACGTGCGCCCTCCCGTGGCCTTCAGCCAGGGGGGAGACAGGTGCCGTGCTAACGCTTAGTAATTCACGAGCAACTGACGCACAGGGAATTTACACCAGGGGCCAGACCCGGTCCCTGGAAGAGAGTGTGGGCTCTGGAGGTTCCACTAACACACATCCGTGCTGTACAGGGGCTCCCGGCCCGAGGGTGCCAGCTGGGTGGGTGCTGCCCCGACCGCCCACGGGGCCCACCTTGTCCCTCAGCTCCTCCGCCTGGCGGACCTCCTCCTGCAGGTTGTAGATCTTGTTGACGAGCTCCTGCCGGTCCTCCAGGGCCTCCTTGCGGTCATGCTCCAGGATGTCCAGGATGGCCTTGTCCGAGTCCGGCAGGCTGCGCTTCCCGGCCTGGGCGGGCGGGGAGTGCGGAAGGGGGGGACGTTTAACGGGGCTGGGGGCAGGGGCCCGGGAAGGCGGCAGACAAAAGTGCCGGCGACACACTGGGCAAGCAGAAGGTTTTGTGCCAGGGAAGCAGAGAGAGGCAAGGGTCGCTGTCTCTCGGGGTCCCTAAGCAGCTTATCATTTACGAATTTTATCACCTGGAAAGCAGCATAAAGCCCACTTCCGCGCAGAAACATCCCGATGCCTGTCGTTCTGCCCCGGCTCTTATCAGAGCTCAGAGGAGCACTCGCTGCTGCTCCACACACTTCACAGGTGACAACAAAGAGAGGGCTGATCTGCCTTCCAGATGCCTCCCCCGAAGTACCAATTAATCTCTCCGACTAAACCGGGACGCATCCTCTGCTCTGAACGAGAGCCTTCCACGCCAGGCAGCCAGTCCTGGGGGGCGGGGGGAATCATTCCGGAGGAAGGGGCGGGTGCCTTTTTTCTTCCCTGCGTATGTATTTGGGGCTATTATTCCTCCGTACCTACAGATGATTCTGTGATGGCGGGGGGGGGAGGCTCTTGAAGTTTTAACGAATCACACAGAGCTGAGAGTTGAGTTTCTTGGAATCTTTAAGGCAAGAAGATTTCTCGGATGTACTTTTCTCACAGCGCCCAGGGCAGTGATTTTGTGTGAATGGCGACTTTCACGGAGTGGTTCAGCCAGGGGAACATCGCCACAAGTTTTATCTCACATAATGTCGTGCCTCTGAGAAGTGGGTGGTGTGGTCACTCCCGCTGACAGAGGAGGGACTAAGGTGCCCGAGGATGACATGAACTCTCTGTGGTCCTGCGGTCAGCAGGTGGTGGCTTTGGGACTCACACCCAGGCAGGCATGTCCGTCCCCGACCCTCCTCCTCCCTTGCGCCCACTGTGCCCGCACTGGCCCTCACCTGGATGATGGACTGCAGCTCCTGGATTTTGGTCTTCAGCATTTCATTCTCCCGCTCCAGCTCCAGAACTTGCTCCTTCTTGGGCCGGTTCTCGATGTCGTTCTTTAGTTTCAGCGACTGATTCCTCTCCAGCTTGCATTCCTCCTCCATCTTATTCAATCGATGCTTGAGCTGGTCGATCTGAAAACACCCACAGGGTGCCGAGGGGAGAACGCAGTTGACAGGAGACATTCAGAAAAGGCAGTGCCTCCCAGATCCTACTGGACTTCCAGCACGAGCTGTGCTCTGCCCCCCTCTCTCCTTCCTCCAGTTGGTGACAGAGAAGGCCTCAAAGAAACCTCTTCCAGTGAAACAAACCACCCCCTCCTTGTTGAGGAAGAGGGTCCTGATCCATTAATTTAGAACAGTTCTAAAGCAGTTACGTCCCCTGGAAGACTTCCTCAGGCAACTTTTGTGGAGCAGAACAGATTACAGACTAGGATAAAAGGCACCCAACCTGGCGTTTCCCTGAGGTATGTTATCCATTTTAAAGGTCTTTTAGGATGGGTTTCAAACTCTGATCCTCAGAAGTCAAGATTCCCTCAAGAACCCTCGTGTTATCGCAGGGAGCAAAGAGATGGGGAGGGGGGGGATCCGGGCCCCACCCTGACTTCACACCCCACAGTAGTTCTGCATATGCACAGGTTTTGGCCTCTTGTGTTTCACACAAGATTTTAGTTGAACAAATGGCATTGCTGCCACTGACAGGATCTCTGGCCTAAAGGACCTGCCCAGACCTAGTGTGTAAGAAAGAGTGGCTTCCTGGAGGAGGAGGCAGTTACTACCCCTGGAAATGGGACAACTTCTCCAGCTGTGCTGAGCTTCACCCAGGAGGCGAGTGTGAGGAACTGAGACCGGGAGGAAGCTTCTTAAACCTCTGTGACTTAGCCTGGCTGCTTCCCCAAACTGATCCGCCTTGGCCAAACACCTAGAAGAGGAAGATTGTTTTCAAGGTCTGCAAGGAGGAGGGTACCAAATGGGTGAGCGTCCTTTTTCAATTCTAGGCTTATGGGGGGAACATCTCAAGACATCTGGCAGGTGGAGGGTGACGGCTTCAGCAAGGAAGGACCTCGGCTGTACGTCCGTGGTCTGAGGGAAGGAACAAAGAGGCATGCAGGGAAGCAGCCTGGGCCTGAGAAATGGCCTAGGACTCAGCTGGCCAGATGTTCTTTCAAGTTCTAGATATGGTTTCTCACTGTTACTATATGGCCAGAAAAACATAAAACAGGAGAAAGTTCTAGGAGAGAAAGTTTTAAACCTCCGCCACAGGTTAACACCTCCAAATCCTAGATGAGACAGCACAGAAACCTTGCTTCCTGGTCACACACACACACACACACACACACACACACACACACACAGTCCTCCTTAGAGTCTTGGAAGATGAACCCAAGTGACCTGTTCTGGGTCTAGATCCCCAGTCCCAACCAAGTGGACACAAAGTGTGTGCTTACTAGGTCAGCCATCTTGCCAAAGACATATTTCAGCATCTCAGCCATCCTAGGGCGTAGGTATTATTTTCACTTCCATGTAACTGGCATTTACGAATGAGGAAACGGAGGCCAAGAACCCACTAAGTGGTAAAGCCAGAAGTCAGGTTTGAAGCCAAAGCCAAAGGATTTCAAAGCTCTTGCGTTTTGCCTGCTATGCCACCGACTCAATCCACCTGAATTCTAGTGGCCTGTTTACTGATCTGTCTGGTTCAACTAAATTGTAAGTGACCTGGGCACAAATCAGGTTATTTATGCCTATGTCCCTCGCAGTGCTTAGCACCGTGCCTTACACATGGCAGGGGCTTAATAAATGTTCTGAGGGTCTATTTTCCACCCAGCAGCCAGAGTGATCTTTCTAGATATAAATCAGTTGTCACTCGCAGCTCTCCATCCCTCAGTGGCTTCCATCACTACTGGAATAAATTCCAAGGCTCTTACCAAGCCCCCAGGATCTGGATGGACCCTGGCCGTCTCCCATGTGCTCATTTGGCTCCAGCCCCACTGGCTCTCCTGCTGTTTGTCGAAAACACCAAGCATGGCCGCTACCTGGGGCCTTTGCACTTGCTCCTTGCTCTTCCCCTGAGACTTGCAGGGCTGGCTCCTCCCTCTCCTCAGATCTCTGCTCCTGTGTCTCCTTGTCAGGAACGCTTCCTGACCATCCTATTTAAAACAGCACCCCTCACTCACTATCCCTAAACTCTTTTCTCCCTCTTCTTAATAGCACTTATTACTACCAGCGATTGATGCATTTCTTTTCTGATTAGAATGTGAGCTCCATGACAGCAGGGCTTTGGTTTTGAGTTATGTATCCCTGGAAAAGAGGCTGGTGCAAGGCGGTGCACAATAAAAGGAATGAATGAGTTAAGCAATTCCCTTCTCCATCTCCCTTTTGGAAGTAAACTCATTAATGACATCTACCATTTGGCTGCTGGACTGTTCACTGATAAGTGACCCTTCCACTGTGTCATGCTGCGCTTTGTGGATACAGCTGTGAAGGGCAGAGTCCTGGCCTCAAGGATCTCATGAATCCACGGGACAGGTGCTGTGCCCATCTCCTTGGGATTTTCCCGAGGGCCATAGAGCTGGGCAGGCCCCTGAATCCTCCATCTTCCCCCTCACCCAGCACGGGTGCAGTGCCCACGAGCTGGGCCCATGTGCGCATCTCTGGTTCACGTGCCTAGTGGGTCCTCGCTCCGGAGCAAGTGGGAAGCTCCACCGGGCCCAGGTGCGCAAGTCTGCACGTCCTGAGCAGGACGTCACGCTCACTGGGTCTGTGCGCATGTGCACACATGCGCAGTGGATCTGGGCGCTAAACTGCGGCACCGAGCCTCGCTGGGCTGGCGTGCGCGTGCGCACAGTTGGTCTAGGCTGCCGGAACTCCCGCGTCTTCCTTTCTCCCTCACCTGGCCAGGTGTTAAACCCTGCCCCTGCCTGCCTGGTGGCCTTCGCTTCCTGCTCACTCACTTTGGCCCAGCAGCTCCCGCCACGTGCCCCTCACCTCGAGCTGGAGGTCCCGGCTCCGCATGACCGCCATGTTTTTCTCTTCGCTGAGCTGGGCGTAGCGCATGGCCAAGTTGTAGTTGTCATCCTTCACCTTGACCAGCTCGTCGTTGTAGCTGTCCCGCTCCTCCTTCATCTTGTAGTACCGGTCCCGGAAGGTCAGCAGCTCCACCTGTGTCAGCGTCAGCTGCTTCCTGTCGTCCTCCAGCTGTCGTGACTTGGCCAGCAGCTCACACCGCTGCAGGTCCTTGGCCTTCATCTGCTGCTGCAACTTGATGACCTCGTTCATCAGGAAGTGCGTGAGGCCCTCGTGGCCCTCCTCCACTGTGGAGAGGGGGGCACCCAGTCAGGCCTGAGGACTGGGGAGGGGAAGAAGGGGGTTCCAGACGTGGGGCAGGTGTCATTCGTTCACTCATTCACTCACCAACATTTTACTGAGCTCTTACTACCCATCAGGCACCGGGGATTCAGGGTGCGCAAGACAGCCTTGGTCCCGGTAGAGCTTATGTCTGGTAAGGGAGACAGACATCAAAAGACCAAGTGATCACACGCAAATATAACTACAGAGTGAGAGGACTGTACAAAGTAAAGGTATGGGGGACTGTGAGAGTGTGTAACGGGGTGGGGGGACCAGATCCAGCTGAGTGGACAGAGGCATTAGAGAAGGCTCCTGATGGATGGGCTCAGGTATTGAGGAGAGAAAACACATTTTAGGAAGGTGGAACAACATTGCCAAGGTCCTATGGGAAGGGAAGAGGAACCTGGCACATTTCAGAAACTGAAGGAAGACCAAAGTGGCTGGAGCTCAGAGAGAGGGAGAGGCAGAAAGGTGAGGCTGGGAGTATGATCAGGGGCTGGACCATGTAGGGTCCTTGTGAGCTGCACTGGGGTCTTCAGATGGCAACAATGGAAAGCCACTGAAAGGTTTTAAGTAGGGGAGGGTGACATGAGGAGTGGAGAACTCATTGGATCAGAGCAGGAATGGATATAAAGAGCTGATAGGGTTGCATGGGTCTTGACTAGGATAGGGGTGTATATGGAGAAAAGACAGATTTAAGAATATTTAGGAAGGAAAATTAAGATGACAAGATGACCACGGGCTCTGGTTCATGGGATACTGGCAGGAGGGTAGGCAAAGGAAAGGACAAGATGAAGAGGGTAGGGGGAGTTCTACCCCCCCAACACTCACGGGGGATGTTCAGTAAACACCCACTTCTCTTGATTCAGTTTGTTCCTCTGTGACCTACATTTCATCATCAGGCAGAAATAAGTGGTTGACAGTTCCTAAGTGCCACCGGGGCACTGTCCTGACGTCACAGATCCATAAGCTTAGAGCTGTCCCACCACTGGACACACACACACACACACACACCCCTCCCATCACAGTCCGAATGCTGCTGGTAAAGCCACTTACCCACAATGGTGGAGAATCTACGAGTGGGTTCCTTTCCAGTCACCAGTTTGTACAATTCTGGGTAGTAAAACTCCAGACTCTCCAAGAAGGCCACGTAGCCCCTCTGCCCCTTCGTATGTAGAATGTCCAGCAGTCGGCCTAGAGGAAAGGCCAAATCACTCGGTGGGCAGCAGCGTCCATGTCTCCAAATCCAGTCTTACGCTGGGCTCACATCCAGACAGTACACTCTTAAGAAGAGAGTCTCACCACATCCTGTCACTCCTGAGTTTTATCTTACAGTCCAGCTAATGTAAATCGAAGTGCTAGGCCCTCGGCAGGGACTGTGAGTGTTAGTTTCCTTTCTCCCAAAGACTGGTGGAACCAGAAGCAGCCATAGGAAACCAACAGTCTTAAAGAGCTTCCCAACTGGCCAGGGCTAAAATTAACCACACAGGCGTCTGTGATTGAAGGAGGACGGATGTACAGCAGTGGTTACGGAATAATATATGGTTCTCTGGGATTCAGACCAGGAAGATAAGTATTTGGGTGGGGAGCTAGGAAAAGTCCTAGGAAGCAGGAATAGCTCCATGTTCTTAGTCTGGGAACGTTTTTAATCTAAGTGTAATTTCCTTGGCAGTTTTCAGTTTTTATCCTACTGGTTCCACTTATTCTCTACATTTCTCGCCCCTTCCTTAAACATTTTATTTTCAGCTGTTTCTTCCCTTGAGGTCCTAAAACTCAATCCTTCCCCTAGGGTAGACATAATAAATACATTTCATCTTGTGTCACCTGACTGTCACAGCCGCCCGGATTCTAAAGTTACATCCAGGCTCAGTAGGAAAACATGCTGGGATTAGTGATGTTGGTCAGGTAAAACATCAAAACAGCAAAAGAGAGTCATAGCATATGAGCTGCTTATCACCAGTCATACTGTGGGCAAGTGAGTTTCAGACCTCTTCAACTGTGAACCACGGAAAGAGATGTATTTTACATTGTGACCGCATGCGTACACACAAAGACATATTTTGCTACAAACATACATGTGAATACACACACAGATGTATATGAAACCAAGACAGTGTTCACAGACCACACTTACTACCTACCTTTAATGCATGTGATAAAGTGTCATGGACCCCTAGGCGGTCTGGAAAAGCCTATGGACCCTTTACCAGAATAACATTTTCAAACAGATAAAATGCATTGGATGACAAAGGGAATCCATCATAATAAGATACATGAACAAATATTAAATTTACGACTCAGTAATAAATGTGCTTCTTTATCAATGCATCAAATAAGCCAATCTCTTGGCAGGTCTAATAACTACTATCATTTCAAGGGAAAGATGAGTATAAGTGATATTTTGAAATCTGTAATAGCTGTAACGTGATAAGAAGATATCTGTAATGTTTACTGTTGACAAGGACACAAGTATTGCTAATCACTGTGATTTGTTGCCTACCTGCGTCCATAATTGAAGGGAACGCTAAGCCTTAGGTGGGTAAAATAAGGATGTAATTTCCCCCTGGCCAAGTTAATAGACCCTCTCTACCCATGGACAGTTTGGTGGGGGACCAGGGGTGGGGAGAGGTCTGTGGACTCTAGTTAAACATCCCTGACTGAGAGAAACGTCATTTTGCTACAGCTAACTGTGAGTTATCTCCTGAGGTTACCTGCCCGGTTGATCTTGGACGGCAACATGGGAGCATTAAGCACTTCATCTTCATCTTGTTCATCAATGACCTTGCACTGGCGCAGGTAGGGGGTGAGCTTGGCCGGGTTGATGTAGCGACTCAGCATGTGCCGGTTGCACTCCACATTCTCCCACAGGGCATCCTCTTCATCCTTCAGTGTCTGCATATAGTCATCCATCTCTGGCGCCCCTCCTTTTAGACATAAACCCCAACAAGGTTAATAAAAGAACCTCACTGGAATAGCTCCATAAACTTTGGAGAGATCTCCAGTATCCACTGTTAGGTGAAAAAACAGTAGAGAAAAGCATATATATTCTACCTCTTTTTTTTTTTTTTTTTTTGTGGTACGCGGGCCTCTCACTGCTGTGGCCTCTCCCGTTGCGGAGCACAGGCTCCGGACGCGCACGCTCAGCGGCCATGGCTCACGGGCCCAGCCGCTCCGTGGCATGTGGGATCTTCCCGGACCGGGGCACAAACCCGTGTCCCCTGCATCGGCAGGTGGACCCCCAACCACTGCGCCACCAGGGAAGCCCCTATTCTACCTTTTATTTGAGAAAGGAAGGAATATGAATAGACATATATTTCTTTATGTACTAAACACAAAAAATGATGGATAAGCCATAAAATTAAAACAAAAATTATAGGGAGAATTTTGTAGTTGGAGTATATCCTTTCCTTCCAAGTTTTTATATCTTACTAAGAATTTGTATTTCCCAAAACAATATATGCTATACTTTTTGTTTTACAGTTTCACATAAATGGCATCATACTATATGCTTTCCTGTTTCCTTTTTCAACTTGCTTTTTTCTCTCTGCATTTACTGAGATTTATCTAGGTTGATACATACAGACCTAATTCATTCATTTTTAAAAACAGCTTTGTTGAGCTATAATTCATGTACCATACAATTCACCTTTTAAAAGTGTACAATTCAATGCTTTTTAGTATAATCACAGAGTTGTACAACCATCAGCACAATTAATTTTAGAACATTTTCATCACCCCCCAAAGAAACTTCATACCCTTCAGTAGTCACTCCCCTCCAATACCTGCTCCTCCAGCCTTGGGCAACCACTAATCTATCTTCTGTCTCTGTAGACTTGCCTGTTCTGGACGTTTCACTTAAATGGGATCGTACAACATGTGGTCTTCGGTGCCTGGCTTCTTTCCAGGTTCATCCATGTTGTATGCAGCATGTTTCAGTACTTTCTATTGAGGAATACTTTCTCATTGTATGGATATATCACATCTTGTTTATTCACCCATTGATGACTTTGGGTTGTTTGGTTATTACAAATTATGCTACTATGAAGATTCACGTACACGTTTTTTTGTCAACGCATGTTTTCATTTCCTTTGAGCAGATATGCAGAAATGGAACTGATGAGCCATAAGGTAACTCTATGTTTAACATTTTGAGGAACAGCTAAACTGTTTCCCAAAGTGGCTGCGCCATTTTACATTCCTGCTAGCGATGTACGAGGTCCTAATCTATTCCTGCTAGCGAT